AGCCGCCCCGCGCTCCCTTGCAGCTCGGCCGCCACCGCTCTCGCCCTCCACGCCGCGGCCGCCGTCCGCTGAGCTTTTTGCCGGCTTCCCTCTGGCGCTGTCCCTCCGAGCTTCGGGTTTTGCCCTCGGTGGGAAGCGTTCGGGTGCGTGCGGTGTGAAATGGTTAGCGGGGTGGGACGGCACTGCCAGCACCCCCTTTGCGGGTGGCGGGTAGCTTCGCGTCCCGGAAACGCGTGCGGCGCCTTTGGTTCTTCCAAACTTAGTACAGGTCAAACTGCGGGAGTTGGTTATGTAAACGGCGTTGTTCTGTCCCTGCTACCGGTTTGTCGTTACCCTGACGTGAGCCTCGTTATTGCTCCTCTGGGTTTGTCTAATCTTTCTGGCTCAGTAAGCTATTTGCTGAGCTGTTTATATGGCCAAGAGGGGCAAAATGTGTTGCGTGCCCTAAAAAGCTAAGGAATTAAGTTGTTCTGGAAACATTTCGATGTTTTCTGGCCGCATTGCATAATGGCGCTGGGTGCAACTATGTGTGAAGCTGTCCAGTAACCTCTGCATCAGCCCTTCTGGGTTTCCGCTACAGACCTGCTGCTGACGACGTGATTTAGGCCAGGATCGGGCCCCCTGGGGGAACACGAACTGCCTGAGAACTGCTCGGAGTCGGAGGTGAACAGCCTCTCCGGTGCAGCGGGAGAGGGCAGTGTTGGTGCAGCAGAACGGACCGCTGCTGGCGTTTCCAGGTTTCCTCCTCGAGTGTAAGAGGAACATCCGAGTCTACCCTGTCTAAGAGACAGTGCGACAGGTTTATCTTAGGAGCAAACGTGAGCTTGCCTACGCTTAAGAGCTGAGTTCGTGGTACCAGAGTAGTTTTTTTTCAGGGAAGAGTAGGCAGCTGCTGATGAGAAGAGCTTATCCTATGTAAAGACCCCAAGAGAGCCTTTCACAGGAGGAGTAGCATTGGGAACATCTGACAACCTGCCGCTGATTCTGAAGTTAGTTCATTCTTGAAACCTTTCGCTGTGATTAAAAACGTTTCCTGATCCTTTACTCTTGGAAATCTGTTCCTCCCCCATGCAAGACTGGGAAAGCTGTTTTGAAAGTAAACTAAAAATCCTGGTGTTGGCTGGCTGCCACTGACTGTCTTGTCTCCACAGGTGTATTGTACTAAATTTTCTATGTACCTTTGAAGAATTTAGGAAAGTGAGCACTGTGGGTGCAGTGATCATCCTTCAGATGTATACCCAGAATAATTAATGAGCTTTTTTGTTTCTTTGAAATCTGTTTTCCAGAAGTGGTCACATACCTCTGGAAGTGGTTCCAGTGCCTTTTTTCTGAAGGGAACAGGGCAAGTCTGTTGCATACCTCACTGATGCAAACTGAAAAAAAGGTTTTTTGATATATTCTTGTGCTTCTTGAAGATGAAGAAGCAATAGCACCAGTATTTCTAGCCTGAACCTACTGTAACCAAAAGAAAGGCCAAGGTGGATTCATGCTTATCTCCAATTAGGAGGACACTGAGGTTTGATAATATATTTGTAACCGGTAACTTAAGATGTAAATTACCACGGTGATTGCCAAAGCTCTGTGAATAGCAGAGTTTTCTCACTAGGGAGCAGGGCCCAGAAAAGTGAAAGGTCATGGAAAGGTGCGTGGAGTAGGTGGATATTCTGTGAAATGTGCTGGAGGGTGTGTGGCATAAGGAGTTGTGGGTTGTACGTGGGTTTTCTGAGTATGATGGCTGTATGAGTAAGTTTTTAATTAAAAACTAATGCAGTAAAATTGTAGGTTGGGAGAAGGAATGCGATTCAGACAGTGGATGTGTTGTTATTGTGGTATTAAGGCAACAGTGTTTGAGATTGACATAAAAAAAGCAGCTGGACTGGTTAGGTTACTGGCTTCTGCTGTGATCAAAACATGAGTAGATTGACTTTCTTTCTGCTCTCCTGTATATGCATTTGTAGATGAAATCCACTAGGTTCTTGTGTTTATTTCCCATGCTTTGGTTGATTTCTACTGTAGGACTATTTATAGCTTGTCTGTGTTACCTAAAGGGAAAATGTAATCAAAAGGAACAAGGCTCTTACCATCTGAGGTTTCAGTGAACTTCTGCAAAATTATTTTGGTTCTCTTTGGTAAGTTGACTAGAGTAGTGTATCCTCTATTACCTGAATTTACAATAGTTAGAGGTTGCATGAGGCAAAACCTTGGTATATTTGTGGGGTCTGATTTTGGAGTATAGGTAGCATCTGGAGGGAAACATATTTGTGTTTTGTCTCATCAAATGTGCTCCTAAGTTGTATCTTTCAGTTGTAGTCAGTTCAGTGAGAGGGATTGTACCTAAACCCAGAAGATGTACATATGGGAAGGTACAGATCTAAGAGTTGTTTCTGTGAGTGAGGTTGCTCTTTTGATAGCAGTAATTTTTCCTAATCAATGATTTTTTTTTTCTAGACACCTGTCAAGACTTTTCTAACTGCAGTTGGTGTATTGGCAATGACACAAATGCAGCAGGCTGCAAGTGGATCAGATGCAAAGGTAAGGAGGACTGCACAGTGCAGCTACTCGTTACGCCATGCAGAACCTTAAACCCAACTAAACCTACGTCAGCCATATTAATGTTCATTACACAGATATACTGATTTTTTGATAACCTACTGGAGCACTAGCTCATAACTTACATATGTTGTTAAATGTTTTATGTTCTTTTGTGGTGACAACTGAATGTGTTCAAAATAGTCCTAGATTTTTAAGGCTTCTGATTTAAATCTGTGCTGTTGATAAGCTAATGTTTTCCAGATAGATAGTTCAAAGTGTTTTTAGAACTAGTCACTTACGTTTGCTGTTAAGGAGTCACAAGTGGATTCTGACATACGGGCACATCTCTGCTTCAGTCCTTTTTGAGGTTTTCTCATAGCCCTGGTGGTCACAAGCAACTACTGAAGTGAAGTGCAGTAAGGGAGAGCAGTCCATTAAACAAGATTCATTAAGAGTAGTGGACCTAAAACTAAGAATTGCTGAAAGGAATGCAACAGAGCCAAAGAAGCATTAGCTGGCCTCGTTCAGAACCTTGTCTTATTTGAAGCCTTGTCTTTCCTGTTGTGGAAGAGCTGGATGTAACCATATTTTGATAACCTCTGGTACTCAGTCTGGGGGGAGGTGAAGTTGCTGTTGACAAGGTCATACAAAGACTGCATGAGTAGCCCTCAGGTGGATTATTTGTACTTACGTGCGGTGGAAACAAAATAAGAGGAGAGAATGGCTCGACTGCCATATGATTTTTGTAGCACTTGATTGTAGATGACCTAGAAAGGTCAATTATGAAGGATAAGATGCTTTGATCTAATTAAGAATTTTAGGTGTAACTTGTACAGTACAAGAATGTCTTTCAAGAATCTTTTTCTGAATTCTGCGTGTGTTGTCTGACCAGCAGGCACATGCTGCAAACACCCAAGAGATCTGTGTAAGTTCTTTGAGGGAGAGGTTGAAATCTGAGTCAAGGGAGAAGGGTGTGCAGGCAGAGAGTAAGAAACTGATGTCTTCAACAATTTCAAGGTCAAGGTTCTCTTTGAAAAGCTGGAACTTAAGTTTCGCTTGCACGTAGAATTTAAGACAGTAAGATAACGTTTTTTTAATGATGCTACCATAGAGACACAAAATGTTTGACTTGAAAAATAGCCACAAATAGAAGTGCTGTCTAATTTTATAGACTGAAGAAAAAAAAAAAATCAAGCTATACTGTTACCGCAAAATGGTGCATAACAATATTTAAGTATTGATTTTAGTTATGGAGTAACTGTAGTGAAAGAAAATAGTAAACTAAAGCTTTTCTAATTATTAATAGAATACTGAAGTCCTGTATATTTAAGTGGCTTTAATGTTATCCTGGCTAGAAGGTGGTAGTGAATTTGTCTTATGAACAGTTTGTTATTATTTAGGAACAGTGTCTCAAAACCTTTGAAGTTTTGCTGCTGTAAATATTCTTGTTTCTTCTTTTTTAGCAGCTGAGATGTGTGTAAATGAAACAGAAGCAGAAAAGCACAGTAACTGTACAGTTGAGGAACAGTGTTCTTGTAAGTAGATACTCAGCTTTCCCATTGGTTAATGTGAAGCGTTTGCCTTTACAACTCCTTCATTTGTTTGCCTTTGTTAATATGCCTTCTGCAGTTTACGTAAGCATGTAAATAAGCCCTTTGCTTCCAGCTTCAACGTACAATATGTAATACTAAGAAACACAATTTCATTTGGCGTTAATTGCTTACTGTTGCCATTTCAAGAAACCTGATGTATTTTACTAGACATGTGTGCTCTGGCTGCTGCCTTGGTTTCTTGGATGAAAATAGGTGACGTTTCCTATTGGGTATAATATATGCTAAGGAACTTGTCAGCATCATTAAGGCAGTAAGCTTCATTTTCAACAAAAAAGGTGTCACCTGCTAGGTCCACTGCTTCATTTGAGATGCAGTAAATAGGAAAAACTTAAGAACCTTAAAGTTTTAGTTAATTAGCCCAGCTCTTCATGCAGTCCTGAAGTGCAGGCTTTGTGTAAGGTAAATCCTTCATGCAAGGAAATCTACTTCAGTCATTTTGTTAATTTGCTTGCTGTGTAAAGAGCTTGAAAGCAGGATACGGGTCATTTACATTAATTCTTGAATTTCACTTTTCATGGAAAACTCCAAATTTAATTTTTTCTGGAAGCTGACAAGAAATGGACTTTAAAATAGGTTTGAGATCTAGAACAGGAAATGAAATTTTTTTTAATGCCTTTGCCCAGATGAGTTCAACAGTGCTGCTAGGCTGGCTCACACCAACAGAGATGCAGCTTTCATGCTGCTATCAGCTATATTGTGGTAGCAGCCAAACAGAAATAATTCCACTTGATTTGGACTTTTGTGTTGTTTCTAAAATTGTAATAGTTGCCTTTTAGTCAGGAGTGTTAAAAGTACCGTTTTTTCAGTGCTTTCCAAAGAAAGCATGCTGTTACAATGCTTTGTTCTAAGTCTACAAGCAGAATTTCTACAATATGTTCTTGTTAAACTTCTAGTGACTTTATCTAGTGACTTTATCAGGTTGTTGTGTTTTAGCTTCTGCATATTCAAGGAAACTTAATTGTCACCTTTAGTAGAGGATCTCTCTTGGTGTGAGAGGAACCTGTGTTACCTTATCAGCTGTTACAGTGCCATGGCTCAGCACTACATCTAGGGATTGACATGGAAAAACACTAAGGTGGCCCTAAACTAACTTGATACAAGTGGGATCTGAAAGAATGTAGATTCTGATAATATCCAGCCTATCTCTGTAGAAACAGAAGGGTCTGTTTTCCTGCTCTGCTGAATTGTTTTGAGACTTAAATAGCCGTATTTAAATGACCCTGAGCATTAAAGACTTCTGGACATAATGGTATTTCAGCAGGCACCTTGCTGATACATGAATCTATGATTAAGCAGCAGTTCAGATAAGCTGTTCATGTGTGATTAACTCAGTTAATACAGTAAGTTGCAGAAGGCTTCACGGTTGTTTTTGTTTTGGAGTTTTTTTATAGCACATGCTGAAAAACTGAGATCCCTTGCAACCAGCAGCAGCTCTCAGAACAGAAGCTTTAGCTAAACTTCCAAATTTTTGAGGGTGTTTTGGTTTTTCCCCCATACTACTTCAGCTCAATTTGACCCAGCTGAACTAAGTCGGTTGAGGTTGGGGAGCAGTACTGAATACCTTGTGTCCTATTGTGTAATGCACGGTTTGTGCTTGTACAATATGACTCTTCTCCTTTCTTTTCACTTTGAGGAATCTTGAGTTGCCAGTTGAACACTGGGCTGCCTTTGACCAGGTTTTTCCTGCATTCACTTGTGCAGCTTCTGCTGTTTGTGGTGGATTGAACGTTCGACTGCTTTGTGTTTCAGACCAAAACTATAATTGAACTCAGTGCTACATGAATTCTGTAAAACTCAGCCTGATGCTGTTCTGTTTGTGGGGATTTTTAGTTAAATACTGTCATTAATTTCTTTAACATAACTTTTTATTCTTTTGTAGCTCCTACAGTTGCTCCTTTTTCCAATATTACTGGGTCTCCTTCCAATACTACCATGTCACCTTCCAATAGTACCACAGAGTCTTTCAATACAACCACCGCCAGTTCTGCTACCACAGCTCTCACTACTATAGGTAATGCAGTAACACTGGATATGGAATGGCAGTAAACTAGGAACTGGTGAAGAAAATAAAGGACAAGGTCTTTTTCCACAGATCACTGTAGTAGCATGACTACTAAAGATCTTACATGGAATAATAAAGGGTCCTGGGGTTTGGAAGAAGTGGATTGTATAAAATTCTATCTGGGAAAGTACTTCTTTCTAATAAAATTAAGAATTGTTTGAATTAGATTAATCATTTCCCTAATCGTAAGTTCTTATGAGTTTGATTTTGTTGTTGTTGTCCAGTTCAGAAACTTCCATTCTTATACATGCTGTCATCCTTTACAGTGAAATTTGTGATTTAAAAAAAAAATCATCTTTAAAAGCATCTGCTGCTTAATGGAGCTGGGAGGTAACGAGTTGATACTCGATTAGGCTCAGAACAGCCTGATGTACATTAAGGTGACGTTTAGCTTTGAATAAATGTACAAATGTTGGCAATTGCCCCAGGCACATGGTGGAATACTGATTACTTTTCAGTAATACTAATTTGGGATTGGGATAGTCAGAGACTTGGTATTCTGGCTTGATAATGGAAGAGTTTTCCAGAGACAGCCTAGCTACAGGTGAATATTTGCTTACTCTAGTGATTCTTTCACAGTTACTGTATTTGGGACTAGGGGAGAAAGAGGAAGTTTTGCTACCCTTTAAGTGTTTCTATCCTGTCTAGAGACACTACATTAAGTACTTTTTAGTACGGTAAATACTGATTCTATGGGCTGTTTAATGAAACTCCTTTACCTGGATGCAGATTCTCAGTTGTGTTGAAGCAGTTATCTTGATTCTTGTTGAAAGACTGAGCATTTATATTACTACTTGAAAGAAAAGTGGTTTTGTCTGATCAGTGGAGAATGTTGAAACATTTGGATAACGATGGTATGCATGTGTGAAAAAAATCCTTTTTGCAGAAGCTTGGCTTTATGCCATGAAGCTGAACATCTAAATGGTGTGGGGTACAGTCTGAGGTCAAAGCTTAAACAAGGATATTGTTTAAGCAAAACAAGACAAACCATTTATGTAAGAACTTCGGTGCTTGCAAACATTGCTCTTGATGTTTATGATATGTGCAAACTGTCTTCTCTCAAACAGCTAACATCACAAATGCAACTACACTTGCTCCTCTACCTACAACTGCCATTGCTTCAACTACCACGACACCCAGTACTCCAGGTAACTGTTACTAGTAGTGTAATTAAAGCATGAAATACTTTGACATAAGTGTTACTTTAAAAGTGCTATTTTCAAACACTTACCAAGTGACAAAGTCGTATTGATACATCTGCTGTTGTCACTTCTAATTTTATGGCACATCTAGTTTTATTGAGGTGATGCATATATGTAGCAAGGTAATGCCCTGAGAAATAGCTAGTTGGTGAGGTATTAAAAGTTGGAAATGTATTGGTCAAATGAAATCAGCTGGCCTCTTTTAATAGTGTGGCTGGAAGTCACTTGTTAACTTGCCTGTGTTTGGGAAGTAGTATTTTGGTTTTTACTTGCAGCATAATAATAGGATATCTATTTAAAAAAAAAAAAAAAAATTGGGCTAGAGTGATAAGAGTAAGCCGAAGTATTTCAGCATTAGTCCTGAATAGGTAATTTAATGAACAGCTCTCATGAACTGAAGTTATTTTAAATAACTAGCCATAAGCAATGGCTGTTACTTCCAGATTCACATGTGTTGTGGCTTCAGCTGATTTCTCTAACCATAAGTTTTGGGCTAAAGTACAGTGGATGGAATGAGTTTAAGCAAAAAAATGGAGCAAGCAGCAGAGCTTGGAAAATGTGTTTTGAATCTGAGCATATCAATAATACGCTTCGGTGTAAAGGAGGAAAGCTTTGGCCTTTTGAAGTACAGATGAAGTCCAGCTGAGACCTGCTCAGTATTGAGGTCCAGAGCAGTTTGGCTATAAATAGCTCTAGCCTTGTACAAACCATATTTAATCAGAATTTCAGTATCACTAATGTAAATGCAGCTGCTGGCATGACTTTACTTCTTGATTATTTTTCGGTTTTGTGTTGGAGTTTGGATGTTTTGAGTAAACTTAATACAATAGTAAAACCTGCAAAACTATTGTGAGCATTGTGCACTCACAGACTCTAATGTGGTGTTTAACAGGTGCAAATGCTACTGTGACTCCTGCACCTGCTGTACGCAAATCTACGTTTGATGCTGCGAGTTTCATAGGTGGGATTGTTCTCGTTCTGGGCCTGCAGGCTGTTGTGTTCTTTCTGTACAAATTCTGCAAGTCAAAAGACCGAAACTATCACACACTTTAGGACCTGCCACTTTACAATGGACTAGTAGCCCAACACCTGTAGTTCACTGAACCAAAATATTTTCTGTTGCTCCTGGAAGACAGCAGTTCATTATATCCTTTAAATCTCTTAAAGAAGACTTTAAAAGAATATTTTTGCAACATTATATTTGGCAAAGAGGTGATACAAATCTCTTCAACGGGATTACCTGCAATATGGCGCATGGGTTCTAATGGCTGTCTTATTTTCCTTTAGTGGCTGCTGCTGTGGGACTTTTTTTTGATATGCCAAATGTAGATGTTCAGAGATTCTTATTCAGTGGCAACACTGTCTTGAGTAGACAATCTCATGATGACTTATTGTGAAGGCTAATTTCATCAACATTTGATACAGTATCCCTTCAGTTTTATCAAGATGAGAATTATTGGTGACTTCAGGGAGTGGAATAGAATTTATACTTCAGCTTAGGGCTCTTAGAGCGTGCAGCTAGAAAGATGAACAAAATTATAGAAGTAGATAATATCTTAACAGAATAACAACCCATAAATTATTTTTTTTTTACCCAAGAATAAAGGTTGCATGGTAAAATACTGCATTCCAAACAGAAATCCTATGCCCTTTCCAATTAATGTTGAGGGTGGAGAAGGGATGTAGGGTGTATCATTCTAAAGGGGAAAAGAAGACTAGTGCCTTAAAAGACTAAAAATCAGTAGAGTGCAAGAGTCCCACCTATTTCAAAGATAAATGAAGCTATTTTAAATACAAGCTTCACATAGGAAAATGGAATACATGTGACGTGAGCGTTGCAGTTTTAAAACTTCTACACTAAATAACTGTCCCTTGTTGACCTTGTTTGAAGGTGAGGGGAGCATGGTACAGTAATGTTCAGCTACAAACAAGCTTTTAAATTGTTTACCTTTTGTTGTGGCCTACAAAGAACAACCATAAAAGCAAGGAAAAATTTCAGTTCACTCCCCACATAAAAAGGCAACAGTTTACATTTATACTTGAAATACTGGTGTTTGGGAAATCCTGAGGGTTTTCTTATTCAAATGGTTTGTAGTAAACTCTGTTCAAATTATTTTCAGGGGTTTGGGTTTTTTTGTTTACCCTGTTGTACCTGTGCTTGCTGAAGGAGCAGTTAAGGATAGTTTGGAGGACCTGCGATTTGATCCTAGTCCTGGGGCTATAGTCCTGATATTCCTTTTTTTTTTTTTCTGTAGTCCCAGGGCTATGCCTTTTTTTTTTTTTTCTCCACCCTACCTGGCATCAGGTTTGTGTTCCTCTGCAGTGGACTGATTAAGGCAGTGTATCGGCCAATAGTAGTTTTGGGGGTTGTTTTTGTTTTTGACGTGGCTGGATCAGCTGTGTGATCTGAATATCAAAGGTACGTCATCTCAAATGTAGGCTGAGTTGAGCACCTGTAAAAATAAATCCACAGGAAAAGTGGAAGTAAAGATGAAAAAGTGGTGGGTGTAGCACATAATACTTTGCTATTGATGATATCCCTTGATCATCAGTTTCAGGATAATATGTAGTACTGTCTCATTAGCTCTGACTTGACTGAAATTTGGCACCCAATACAAAATTACAGCATTAATGCAGATAATAGTAGTGGCAGCAGAACTTAAATACAAAGCAAATCAAGTGCCCTTTGCTGGGAAACTTAAAAAGCAGCATTGCTTTCTTGTGTTCTCATTTGAATGGCATTGTTTCTATTGTGCTGCATGGAAAACTCAAACTGCTATGAAATACAGGAGTTACTCACCAGTACTGTATCTTTGAGTTCTTTAGCTTTTAGTTTTATAAACAAAACTAAGACAATCAGCTCAGGTTTATTAAAACAGCAGAGTAAGCAGCCAGTTTCCAGCAACAGCATGTGTGTGGGTTAGATGATATATCCTTGGCCTTATTGTGAAATCACTTCATCTGTCCTTTCCCTAAGTCAGAACTATTTTATTACATTTATTTGTTTAAAAATATATCCATGACCTTGTGTTCTGTGCTTTAAAGTGACCAAAATGCTCTTCTAAAGTGTGACAGTTCTCCTTCATTTCAACAAAGCAAGCTGTATGCCTAGTTTGGTGGGTTTTGGTGTGGGGTTTTTTTTTTTTTTTTGGCCTCAAAGGGCTATCTTCTTGGAAACTTGCAGAAAAGTGCTACAGAACACTTCATACCATGGCAGATGTGGCCACAAAATGGTCGTTGCTCTGTAAAATGTTGCTAGAATGCTTATTCAAGAGCTATGCTGATCCTGATTTAGGTTGCTGACAAAGTATGCTGGTAAAGCAAACTAAAAATAATTTTTGAAGTGCCTTAAAGTTGCTTAATCTTTTGCCTCAAATATTGTTTAAAAGGGTGAAAGGGATACCTTGCCTTAGTTACTGAATTTTTCTTGGTGCCAGCAATTGCTGCTTTCCAAGACTTTGGGAAGCGGGAGGAGCTCTGACATGTGTAGGAGCCAATCTGAAAAACTCGAGCTTGTACTGTGTGAATTCAGTCGTGTTCTGGAGGCCTGCACTATGCACTGCTTGCTCACGAGCCTTGCCAGCAAGGTGTGATCCACAGTTCACAGAGTTGTGGCTTGGGTTGTTTCCCTTTCAGTTGTTTGGGGGGAGGGGAGGCTGGGTTATACATCTTCACCATGTGCTTGGCTGCCTCATACAGAAAGTAATTATTCCTTTGTGAAATGGCAGCATCCGCTGATCTGTGCTGCAAAAAAACTGAAGTAACACCTTGCAGTTTTTCTTGGCCTTGCATTTTGAAGTGGAAGGTAGCTCATAGATCAGTAGTTGTATTTGCCCGAAAATCAATTTTAGGCACTGAACTGTAGTGACTCTCCAAGTTACCTGGCTTTTTCTTGAAGCCAATTTGTGCAAATATCAAGCTGTTATCTTATGAATGTTCTCTGCAAGTGTTGCTGTAAAAGTTTGTATTTTGTTTTCAGTGGAAGAAAACTGAAATGGTTGTAATCACAAAACCAAATTGATAAATAAAATCTGTTGAATGGAATTTTACTTGTACGCTTTCTTTAGTGTGAGCAATCCCAGGGGGACTGTACTCGCTTTCCGGAGGTAAGAGCTGTTTTCGATAGTAAATGAGAAACTCTGCATGGAAAGAAGGAGAGTGAAAGGTTTGAAGAGTTAAGTTAGCTAAGCATGGTGTTAACTTTGCATTTGAAATGTGCAACAATGCTGACTCAGATTTAGAATCACTTGAAAAAAACCTCTCATTTAGGCCATTTTCCCCTGATAGTTTAACCCTGTTCTCCCCTTAAAGCAAAGGTTACTATCGTACTGGATGTCAACCTGTAAGGTGGAAGAGGGTGTACAGTCTCTGGTTCCAGGGAGGCTGTCAATCACACTGTAGCATCTTCTCAAATCAAGTTCTTTGGCCTTCATGAAAAAGATGTTGCCCTGAGTCTTATTTCCTGATTGCATGAGGAAGAGGAGGATATTTGCTAAGGAATGACTGTTGATGTGTTTGCACAAGAGAACAGAGGGTGTGCAGTTCTGTAGTTGCAGACTAAGATGATAACCAGCTCCAAGTGAAGTAACCTCAGTGTCACATCATGACTTCGATGCTCTTGTGGGTAGCAAATGGAGTGTGAATGCGTCACTAGGTAGACTTGACATAACTCAGTCTCATGGGAAATTGCAAGAACTTTAGTAGTGTTTCTGGAAAGGCTGTGTAGAAATGGAGGAAACCTAGAGCTTCATGATGTGCTTAAAATTGATGTGCCTCCGGGAAATAATCTATTTACTGCACGCAGTCAAGAACCGAATTAAGGTTTTGTTACAATGCAGGACTGAAAGCCTGTGCATGCTTATTTATTCCTACAGTACCAGTCCTGTGTTACTGCTCTTCCTTGAAGGCAGTCTTGTGTAGGTAAAGCACTAATTCATAATTATATTTTTAATTTTCCTGTAAGTTGAGTAATAATTGCAGTATCTTGTCAAGAAGCTGTAGCTAGCCTGAGCCAGACCTTGCCTTTTTTCTGCTGCAGTGGCTCCGAAGTGCTTCATACTGATGATATTGTTCTACTTCCGAATTGGCGTCTGGTGCCTGGAATGTGCTAGGATCACATTTGATGGCTTCTTTAGTGACAGCTGGCCTTGGATGGTTATCAGTCACCTTGTCATTCATTTAAGGCATGCCTTAAAAAGAACTCGTTATTTGATAACTGATTCCACAGCATTCTGACTGTATTGTCACTCATTTTGATGTAGTGGCAAGCTTGAAAGAAGTAAAGCTTGTTTTAGTAATGGTAAAGGATGTCAGCCGTATTCTAGGAATCCTTTATCCTGAAATACTGCAGCATTTCTGATGGAAATTAGAGTTCCTGTACTCAGTGTTTAATCAAGCCAATTCTGTTAAGGGTTGCTTGAATTTAATTCTAGATGTTAGTTATTCATAAAAAGAGTACTGAGGCACTTGATTAGTCATGTGCACAAGCATCCAGGGACACGGATGAAGTTAAAAGGCACATAAGTTAATATTCTAACCTATCAAAAGCTGCAGTACAATTTTACACATCTCTGGAAGACAACTTTGAGTTCTTTATTGGCTAGGCGATAAAAGCAAGCTTTTTTTTTTCCAAGCAAGAGAAATACAGATACATTTATGCTTTCTTTTTTTTTGTTTTCTTCTATTTAGTGTAGCATAGTGCAAGGAGCTGCCCTTCTTCCCCTTTCTAGGAGGAGGGGAAGGTGCTAGAGAAGGTGGAGACGCTGACATTTCTGTTGAGTCATCTGTAAACAGGCATGCAAGGTTCAGCCTACAGGCAGCAACTTCTGGGAGTGAGAGCACTGCCTTGGGCAGGATGTGGTCAGGAGTTGCAATAGGAAAGCAGTTTAAACAAACAAATTAAAACCAAACCCAGTGCTTTTGCTCTAAGCACTTAGCTATGCTTTGCACCACTGTGTTCCAAGACCACAATAAAAGGAAGCCTTTGAGCTTTGATAGCCTTGCCGTTCTGTACTGTGCTGCATTGTCTGTGAGGGGAGGACATGAAGCCCCGCTCTTGCTCAGGAGGAGGATCTGTGTTACCCAGTACCTAACATGGATTAGCAGATTGACTGGAGCTGGTATTGAACACTGCGTCCAAGTATGTTGAAGTACATATGCACAGCACTGGAGTATTACTGCCTCTCTTTGATTTGTGTATAAGTTGTCCTGCTCTAAATTCAAGGTTGCCAGCTCAGTAGCATTTTCTAAAATGCCCTGAACTGAGCAAAAACATACTTAGCTTTACTTCTGGACCAGCTTTTGTTTCTGTAGCTGCGTGAAGACAGTAGGAAGAGACTTTTTTGTTTAGGTGTAGTAATAGCCTATCTGCCATTCTCTCCTTCCATCTGCTAGGCACCTGGAAACAAGTAACATAGAAGAAGAGACCAACCACGGTGTGGTATTCCCAACAACAAAAAAAAAATTTCCTGGACC